TATTTTTAATTAATTAATATTAACTAATTAATTAATATTAATTTGTTATTAATTAATGTTAATTAATTAATATTAATTAATTATTTTTGATTAATTAATATTAATTTGTTATTAATTAATATTAATTAATATTAATTAATTAATTAATAACAAATTAATATTAATTAATAATTCAGTACTTAATTATTAATTCATTACTGCATTATTAATAAACGTTTTTTAATGTTATTCATAATTAAATAATTTATTATAATTAATTCATTAATAATATTAATTAATTATTATTATTATTACTATTGCTGTTCTCCTTCACCCTTATATATATTATATTATTCTTTTATGCTCTTTCTTGTGTTTGCATTATTTGCTGAAAAGCAATAATAATATATTATTAATTATTTATTTATCTTCTTGTTATTAAACACACAATAGAAGATATAAACCCTAAACCCTAATTCGTTCGTAACACTAAACCCTAAACCCTAGTTTTAAGGCGCTAATCAATGCATTGCAAGTCCTTAAACCCTAATTCACAAACCCTAAACCCTCAATTATAAACCCTAATTCATAAACCCTAAATCTTAATAAACCCTAAACCCTAGTAAAGTTATCCCTAGTTAGACAAACCCTAGTTTATAAATCTTAGTTTATACACTTTAGTTCATAAACCCTAATTCATAAACCCTAATTCATAAACCCTAGTCAAGCAGCACAGAGAACATGCATACAGTGACGAGGAGACAGAGATTTGGGGTGTATGTACACTGGATGCATAGCAACAACATTTTATCTGCAGCAGCAAGCATCAGCTGCTGCAGCAGCAAGCAGCAGCTGCTGCGGCAGCAGCAGTTGCTATTGCTGTAGCTGCTGCACCGGCAGCAGCAGCAGTTGCTGCAGCTGCAGCAACAGATGCTGCAGCGGCGGCAGCAGCAGCAGCACATGCTGCAGCAGCACATGCTGCAGCAGCACATGCTGCAGCAGCTGCTGCTGCTGCTGCAGCCGATGACAGTGTTTGTGTTTCTTTTTATTCATGCTAAGCAAAAAATAAAAACAAACAAACGGAGACCCTTAAAATAAATCGGAGGCAGTAAAATATAAATAAAACAGAGAGAGAAAGAAGTAAAGAATAGACAGAAACAAAGAGAGACATTCATATGAAGAGACAGCTAAAGAGATAGCTGCAGAGACACCTGAAAATATATAATTAGAGGCATTCGGAAGAGAGACATCTTAGAGAGACAGCTAGCTACAGCTAGCTACAGATAGCTACAGATATTCCTACAGCTAGCTACACCTGGCTACAGATATTGCTACAGCTAGCTACATATATTTGCTAGAGCTAGCTGCAGCTAGCTGCAGCTAGCTGGGGCTTCCAGCAGGCTGGAGACAGAAAGAAATTAACTAATAAAGAGGTGTATAGATAAAAGATTAATTAATAAAGAGGTGCGTAGACAGCAGAAAACGAGTTTATAGGGAGAAGGTCCTTTAGAAAGAAAAACAAAGAGCAGCAGCTCTGGCTGCCGACGCAGCAGCAGCAGCAGCAGAACCAGCAGCAGCAGCACTAGCACCAGTAGCACTAAAGGCAGCAGCACTAGCACCAGTAGCACTAAAGGCAGCAGCACTAGCAGCACAGGCTGCTGCTTCAGCAATTTGATGCAGCAGCAGCACTAGCACCAGCAGCAGCTGCTGCTGCAGTTTTCTTCAGCAGCGGCACTAGCAGCAGCAGCAGCAGCAAAACAAACAACTTTCTCCCTCGCCTGCCCTCCAACGCATAAGCGAAGTATCCCTAGAGCCCGCTGCAGCAACAGCAGCAGCACCAGCAGCAACAGCAGCAGCAGCGGCAGCAACCGCAGCAGCAGCAGAAACCGCAGCAGCAGCAGAAACCGCAGCAACAGCAGCAACACAGACAGCAGCAACAATAGGAGGGGTCTTACTCCCTCGGTGTCTCTAGGGAGCCTAACCTTAAACCCCTAACAGCGGCAGGCTTCAGCAGTTTGCTGCTGCAGCAGTAGCAGTTTGCTGCAGCAGCAGTTCGCTGCAGTAGCAGTTTGCTGCAGTAGCACGTTGCTGCAGCAGTTTGATGCAGCAGCAGCTTACTGCAGCCGCAGAGTGCTGCAGCAGCAGTTTGATGCAGCAGCAGTTTGATGCAGCCGCAGCTTGCTGCAGGCGCAGCTTGCTGCAGCAACAGTTTGATGCAGCAGCAGCTTGCTGCTGCAGCAGTTTGCTGCACCCCTGCAGTGACAGCGACAACTTCCGCCTCTGTAACACGAAGAAGATATCTTTCCAGCAGCAGCTGCTGCTGCTGTTGCTGCTACTACTGCTGTTCCTGCCGCTGCTGCTGCAACTGCTACTGCTGCTGCAACTGCTACTGCTGCTGCAACACCTACTACTGCTGCAACTGCTACTGCTGCAGCAACTACTACTGCTGCAGCAACTGCTGCTTGTGCTGGTGCTGGTGGTGTCACAGCCACAAGCAACAGCAGCAGCGGCTGCTGTAAGAAGCGCTGCAGCAGCAGCTACCGCTCCTGCTCCTGCTGCTGCTGCTGCTGCTGCAGTAGCAGCGGGCTGTCTTCGAGGCAGTAGCTGCTAAAAGCAAAGAGGAATCCAATTAAAATTTAAGTAAAAAAAGAAAATAAGAAGAGATAGAGAATAATTATTTTAAACAGCAGCAGCAAAACAGCAGCAGCAAAACAGCAGCGAGATGCTCCTCAGTCCAGCAGCCCCGTGAGCTCGGGCCCTGCTGCTGCTGCTGCTGTTGCTGCTGCTGCTGCCGCTGCTGCTCTTTAGGCTATGACAATTCCTTCTTCGTAACCACTACCTTTTTCAGTAGCTGCAGCAGCAGCAGCAGCAGCAGGAGCAGCAGTGTCTTGTTGATCTCACGCTCCTGGGGGTTAGGCCCTCTCGGCAGCAGCAGCAGCAGCAGCAGCAGCAACAGGGCGGTGCTGCTTTCTCAGGCGTTCCAGCAGCAGCAGCAGCACCAGTATTTTATTTTGCTGCTGGATCAGAGCCTTCCCTCAGCGAGGCGGAAGCAGTCTTCACTGAAGTACTCTCCTACTCAGCAGCAGCAGCAGCAGCAGCAACAGCAACATCAACAACAACAACAACAACAACAGCAGCAGCAACAGCAGCAGGTTGTTAGTGCCTCCCCAGTGGAGGCGGCTGCAGCGTTGCTGTGCGGGCGCATGCAGTGTATCGAATACATGCACAGCAGCTGCAGCAGCAGCAGCAGCAGCAGCAGCAGCGGCAGCAGCAGCAGCGGCAGCAGGGGCAGCAGCAGCAACAGCAGCTTACATCGCTCAGATGGCCCTTGACGGCCCCACAGGCCCCGGGGCCCCCATGGATGCAGCACCCCCGTCGAAGGAGGCCCTCGATGCTTTGCAGGTGCGGCATGAACTTCTGTTGCTGCTGCAGTATTCGGTTGTCTGGTGATACTTCTGCCTGGGCCGTTGTTCTTGCTGCTGCAGATGTTTTATCAGCGCTGCTGCTGTTGCTGCTACCTTGCTGCTGCTGGTGTTGCTGCTGCTGTTTTCATGCTGCTGCTCTTGCTGCCTTCTTCCTGCTGCTATTGCTGCTGCTGCACTCTTTTTGCAGCTAGTACCGCTGTTCTTGTTGTGTGGATCTGTTTGTGGGTGAGGGGGGACCAGCAACCTCTGCTACATACCGCTGCTGCTGCTGTTGCTTTTGCTGCTGCTGTTGCTGCTGCTCTTACTGCTGCTGCTGCTGCTGCTGTTATGCATGCAGCTTGAGGTCTCTCGACTGCGGGAGGAGAAGCGGCTGGCTGGAGAAATATTTTCAGAGACAATTTGCAGCTACGAAGAAGAAGTGCGGCAGCTAAAAGAAGCCCTTGCTGCAGCACAGCAGCAGCAGCAGCAGCAGCAGCAGCAGAAGGGGCTCACTGCGACAGCAGCAGCGGCTGCTGCTGCAGCAGCAACTACAACACATGCAAGGGGCTGCCGTGGGCGTCTTGTGCAGCAAAAAGCAGCAGCAGAAGCAACAACAACACCCGCAGCAGCAGCAGCATCCGACAGAGCAGCAGCAGCAGGAACAGCAGCATCAGCATCAGAAGAGGCTTCGTCTTCGCCAGCAGCAGAAGCAACAGGAGCAGCAGCAGCAACTCCTGCAGCAGCAGCAGCAGCAGCAGATTGTTCTTCTCCCCAATCTCCCAGTTGCATCCCGAAGCAGCAAGAGGAGTCTCAGCAGCAGCAGCAGCAGCATGAAACCAAAAGCAGCTGCTGCAGCAAGGGGGCCCCTTTAGATCTTGCTGCTGGGGGGCCCCCGGGGGCCCCCGCAGCTAAACCCTCCTTCTTCCGCTTCGGCTCCCTCCCTGACGCGCATGCAGTTGGAGGGGCCCCCAGGGGGCCCCACAACTGTTTATTTGCAAGGAAGCAAACTGCCGAGGTGTTGGATGGGGTAATTAAGGAGATGCTGCTGCTGTTGCTGCTGCTGCTGCTGTTGCTTCTGCTGTTGCTGCTGTTATCCGGCCGGCTGCTGGTGGTAATATTGATGTTGGAGTGTTGCTGCTGCTGTTACTGGTAGGGCTGCTGCTGCTGTTGCTGCGGCTTCTAGTGCTGCTGTTGCTGCTGCTGCCGCTGCTGCTGCTGTGCCTGTATCTGCTGCTGCTGTTGCTGCTGCTGCTGTGCTGCTGCTGCTGCTGCAGAAGCCTGTGGAGCGGGAACAGCCTCGCGGCGGAGTTGGGGCCCTCCCGCGACTTGGGGGTGCTCGCTCTTGGAAAACGCTGCTCTTTAGCAAGGTGCTTAGGGTTTAGGGTTTAGGGTTTAGGGTTTAGGGTTTAGGGTTTAGGGTTTGCAGGGTATACAGGGTTCGGGCTTCTTGACTAGCGGGAGTTCGGCTTCTTACGGCAGTTTAGTGTTTAGGGTTTAGGGTTTAGGGTTTAGGGTGTTTGTTCAGGACCGCTTCAGCAGCAGCAGCAGCAGCAGCAGCAGCAGCAGCAGCAGCAGCAGCAAGGCCTTCTCCCCTTCTGACTATCATCCTTCATCTGGTATTTCTTATTGGCGTTGCAGCCGCTCTAGGCGCACTAACAGCCCTTCACAGGGGGGCCCCCATGGTGGTTTCTTCTGGGGGGCCCCCCGTGGGGCCCCCCTTAGCAGAGAGAGGGGCCCCCGTGGGGGCCCCCTATCACAGGGGGGCCCCCGGGGGGGGCCCCTATCTCAGGGGGGCCCCCGGGGGGCCCCCCTCTCTGCAATATGGGTGGATAGACTGCTGCCTGACTGGGATAGACAGAAAGAAACTGCAGCATTTGATGAAGTGCTAAGAATGGGAGTGCCTCATGATGTGCGAGGAGAGGTTTGGAAACGGGTTAGCAAGCGTTTAGGGTTTAGGGTTTAGGGTTTAGGGTTTAGGGTTTAGGGTTTAGGGTTGGTTGCTTGGGGTTGCTGCTTGCATGCAGCGCCGAGGTAGTTGTTCTAGTTTACATGGATTTGCGGGTTCTGCGCAGCAGATCCATCACTGCTGCTGCTGCTGCTGCTGCTGCTGTTGCTGCAGGCTGTGGGAGACCAGCTGCGGTTGAGCCCTCAGTACTACGAGTTGCTGCTGGCTCGAATGAAGATGGCGAGGAGGCAGCTTCTGCGCATTAATGTGAAGTATAGGGAACGAATAGAGTGTATCAGGGGGCCGATGGATGAGGGAGCAGCAGCAACAGCAACAGCAGCAGCAGCAGGAGAAGCGGCAGCAGCAGATGGAGCAGCACAGGGGGGGGGCCCACCCGCAGCAGCAGAACCTGCAAAGAAAGACGCAGCAGTCTGCAGCGTCTGTGGGGCCCCTACAGCGCTCGCAGATGCCGCTGCTGCAGATAACAACAGCAGCAGCAGCAGCAACAGCAGCAGCAACAGCAGCAACAGCAGCAACAGCAGCGATTGTTTCGTGTGGGAAGAGGAAATATTTAATTCTTTTTTAGCGATTTCTGCTGACCTCCATCGAACTCTCCCTCGTCTTGGTGTCTTTACTTCAACGGGGCCCTCAGATAAATCCAAGGCACAGACAGCAGCAGCAGCAGCAGCAGCAGCAGCACAAGCACCGCAGGCGGGAGGAGCTGCTGATCACGAAGCCCCGACGGGGGACCTTAAATCAGCAGCAGCAGAAGCAGCATCAGCAGAAGCCCCAGCAGGTGCTGATGCGAGCACCAGCGACAGCAGCAGCAGCAGCACCAGCAGCAGCAGCAGCACCAGCAGCAGCAGCAGCACCAGCAGCAGCAGCAGCAGCATAGATGACTCCCGTATTGACGGTCCTTTATGTGCTCCGCCACAGCAATCTGCTGCTGAGGCCCCGTCTCCTGCTGCTGCTGCAGACTCTTCATCTTCAACGAAGGGCTCTGTGGGGGGCCCTCCCTCAACAGAGTTGTGTACTGGTGGGGCCCCCTCTGGGTACCCCACCGTCATTGGGGGTCCCCCAGAGGTATCTACTGCTGAGGGGGCCCCCTCTGGGGGGCCCCCCATTGGGGATGGGGCCCCCGTGGGGGCCCCCGAGGGTAGAGGTTCAGGTTCAGGGGGGGGGCCGGGGGGCCCCTGTGGGGGCCCCCTTGATTCTCAAGCTGTGGCTCCTGTACCCTTTGGAGTGTCTGGGGGTGAACGTATGGAGTTGTTTTTGCAAACGCTGTTAGAAGTGTTTGTAATGCTGAGGCCTGACTTAGGCTATGTTCAGGGCATGGCGTTCATTGCTGCTACTCTGCTGCTCTATATGGATGAATACTCAGCTTTCGTCTGCTTCGCTAACCTTATGGTATTTCACTAAGGGTTTCAAGGGAAAGGGTCTAGGGTTTAGGGTTTAGGGGGCTAGGGTTTAGGGTTTAGGGTTTAGGGTTTAGGGTTTAGGGTTTAGGGTTTAGGGTTTGGGGTTTAGGTTTCAGCGTCAAGTCAGCGAACGAGCATGGGCTTGCATGCATGCGCATTAGGGTTTAGGGTCTAGGGTTTAGGGTTTATTGTTGCGCATGCAGTTGCGTCGTTCTCTGCATGCATTTTATACATTTGATATGGGGCTGGTTGAAGCTTACTTTCGTACATTTGATTTGCTGCTGGAGGAGAGGCATCCGCAGCTGCTGCAGCACTTCTTATCGTTGGGTCTAGACACAGATATATTTCTTGTTGATTGGATGTACACTCTATTCACAAGGTATGCTGCTGCTGCTGTTGCTGCTCTTGTTTCTGTTGCTGCTGCTGCTGTTGCAGCTGCTGCGGAAGCGCTGCTGCCGAAGCCGATATCTTGTACACTGCATGTGCACCAGGAAGAGAACTGCTGCTCTTGCTGCTGCTGCTGCTGCTGCGTAAGGGTTTAAGTGTATATTTTGTTTGTGAGGGTTTAGGTGTCTGCCCTTTGAGTTGTTGGGGCGGGTGTGGGACTTGTTCATCGTCAAAGGAGATGTTGTCTTGTTTCAAGTTAGCCCAAACCCTAAACCCTAAACTCTAAACCCTACTAAACCCTAGAGCCCAAACCCTAAGCCCCAAACCCTAAGGCCTACTAAACCCTAAAGCCCAAACCCTTAACCCCAAACGCTTAAACCTACTAAATCCTAAAGCCGAAACCCTAAACCCTAAAGCCTACTAAACCCTAGAGCCCAAGCCGTAAAAGCTAGACCCTAAACCCCAAACCCTAAAACCTAAAACTCTAAACCACGAAGCCTAGAGCCTAAACCCTAAGCATCAAACCCTAGAGTGTAAACCATAGGAAGTAAAACCTAAACCCTAGCCCCTGACAAGCGGTGCCCAAACCCTAAACCCTTAATCGCTCGCTTGACGGTGAGGGTTTCTATCCGAAGAAAGCGCAGCTCAGCAGAAGACCCCCTGCTGCTGCTGCTGCTGCTGCTGCCTTCGCTGCTCCAACTGCAACTGCTGCTGCTGCTGCTGCTGCTGCTGCTGCTGCTGCTTAGGCATCATTGGCTATCGTGTCTTACTTCCGAGAGGAGTTGCTGCAGGGGTCTTTGGATGACTGTATGGCGGTCCTCTCCCCCTCAACCACTACTCGCTTCCAGGCTATTCATGTACGCTGCTAACATCAACAGCAGCAGCAGCAGTAACTGCAGCAACAGCAGCAGGAACAGTAGTAGTAGGAGGAGGAGGAGTAATAGTAGCTCTGGGGTGTACACTGAGGTATATATATATATATATATATATATTTATGTTGGGGCATATATAGAACTTTTATTGTATTGTCTGTTGCAGTATATGAACACATAGTACTGTATTACAAGTTGAGGTGTATATGCAGCTATATATATGTATATATATATATATATGTGGGGTGTCTGTACGTACAGTCGGAGAGGTTTCTCGAGCTTCTCTTTGACGTGAAGTTGACGCCTGAGCGTTTGAATGTTTTGCTGCTACAAGTGCAGAAGACTATTAATGATAAAAGAAAAAAAGGAGGGGGGCCCCCCGAGGGGCCCCCCCGCAGCGGTTTGCTGCTGCAGCATCTCAGCACCGAAGCTGCTGTCGCGGATGCAGCAGCAGCTGCTGCTGCTGCAGCAACACAAGATGCAGAAGAAGAGGCTGCAGCAGACGAACCTTCTCCTGCTGCTGCTGCTGCAGCAGCAGCAACAGCAGATGCACCCTTCAAAGACACCGAACAAACAGACGGGGGCCCTCGCCTCCGCAGGAGGTCATTCACTTGGGCGGTAGTAGAGGCCCCCCCTTCGGCATGAGTAGCAGCAGCTGAGGAGCAGCAGCATGCAGTAGCAGCAGCAGCTATGTTGTAGCAGCGGCGGCTATGCAGTAACAGCTGCTGCGCTGCAGCAGCAGCAGTAGCTATGCAGCTGTGCAGAAGCAGCTACAGCTGCGCAGAAACAGCTGCTGCTGCTGTGCAGCAGCAGTTTTGTAGCAGCAGCACACGGTGAATTTGTTGCTGCAGAAGTCTTCGCAGGTTCATGCCTCGAAGAGGGCTCTACTTCCGTCTGAGCACGTAGTGGGGCTGCTGCAGTTGCTGCTGCTGCAGTCGCTGCTGCAGCCGCTGCAGTTTCTGCTGTTGCAGTTGTTACTGCAGTTGCTGCTGCAGGTGCTGCTGCTGCAGTGACTCCTATTGCAGCTGCTGCTGCAGGTGCTGCTGCTGCAGTGACTCCTATTGCAGTTGCTGCTGTAGCAGCAGCAGGTGCTGCTGCTGCTGCTGCTGCTGCTGCTTGGGTGGAAGGAGACAGTTTTGTTTTTTGTTTATTTGTCGAAGAGTAGGGGCACTTTTTTTGTTTTGGTTTGTTTGTCTGTTTTGTCTGTTAATCCGAGCAAAGAAGATATGAATCCGTGCTGCTGCTGCTGCTGCTGCTGCTGCTGCTGCTTCTCTGCTTCTTCCTGTTGCTGCGCCTTCTGTTTGATAGCAGCAAGCTGCAAGGCTCTAGCTGCCTCTACCCCTTGCTGCTGTTGCTGCTGCTGCTGCTGCTGCTGCTGCTGGTGGTCTGGCTGCAGCAGCTTTCCTCCTGATAGTTTTCGGTTCCACTCAGTGATTTCTGTTTGTTGCATTTCTATTTGTCTCTTGGAAGGTAGAAATATTCTTCTGTCTTTAATTTCTTTATTTCTTTCTTCTATAAATACCCAAAACAATGCAAATACACCGCCTGATATCCATACACCCCAACGAAACGAAGGCGAACCCCTTCTGAAGATATCTCGACGAAATGTTTGCAGCCAGTCTTTCATTCTCAACATATATATATATTTTTATTTATTTATTTATTTATTTGTTTATTTATTTATGTTTATATTCTTTTATGTCTTCGCTTTGTTCTACTCTTCTAGCCTTTTTATTTTATTTAAGGTGTTTTTCTTTGTTCTTTCGCTCTTCTTCATCTACCTCTCTTCTTCATTTTCTTTTTCTTTTTCTTTTTCTTCGCTGTCTTCTTTTAATTCTTCGCTGTCTTTGTCTTCTTTTAATTCTTCGCTGTCTTTGTCTTCTTTTTATTTTATTTTTCTAGTTTTGTTTTTCTTCGTTTTCTTCGCTTCCTGTCTTCTTTTCTTCTTTTTCTTCTTTCCTTTTTCTTTGCCTTCTTTGTTTGTTTCTTCTTTGTTTTCTACTTTGTTTTCTTCTTCTGTGTTTGCTTTGTCTTTGCCTCCTTCTTCTTTGTCTTCTTCTTCTACTTCTTCTTCTTTGCTTTTTCCCTTCGTGTTGTTTGTGTTTTTATCCACATTTATATTAGGGAAGAAAATAATAAAATTGTTCTTGCTTCTTTTTCTTTTAAAAAAGTGTTTTATCTTTGCTTTACCACCTCTTTTTTATTTTCTTTGTCTGTCCAGGGTAGCGAGCTCCTCCTTCTAAACAAAGAGGAAATAAAACAAGAAAAGAATTTGCTGCTGCTTCAACTCAATTGTCTGAGCCTAAATTATAATTCTTTTTACGCTACATCAACGGCGATCAGGTGTATGTACACCTCAGCCCTATCGCTCTCTCTTGTTGTAGATGCATCTTAGCATATTTTGCATATTTCTTCCTCATAAATGAATTATAAATGTTTTATTACCATAGTTATAACTCAAAAGATATAAAAGAAGAGCGTAAAGAGAAGGAAGGAGTCGCTGGTATCAGAGTTTGTACAGCTGAGCCTCGCTGTATATACACTCCGATTGTTATACTTCTGATTGACGAACAAAATGCAGAAATATTCCAAAGATATTGCAAAATATATCAATTAAAATCAACGTAACTTTCAACAAACTGCTGTAGCCAGCCGCAGCAGCACCAGCAGCAGCACAGGGGGCCCCCCTGGGGCTGGTACACCCGCCTGTGTTGCAGCTCTAAGAGCAACAAAGAAGTAAAAATTAAGAAAAATAGATTATTATTAAATAATATTTATTTAATAAATCATAAACATTGAATTATTTTTGAATATTTAAATAATTTAATACAAAAATGTTGCATGCGCAGTGGCTTGCCCTGACCTCAGCTTGAGAAAGAAAAACAGATAAACAAATGTTTCCTATAATATCAAACAAACTATTAAATATTTTTTAAATCAAAATCAAATTACTGTTTAATTCTTTTGGTATATCTGCATGTTTATTATTTACCACCTCCATATACACGACATATATATGTATAGTGTATATATGTACATTATATATATAATATATATATATATGTAGATGAGAATGCTAATATAAAATTTGTTGTAGATATGCATGAATCCGCATGCAAGCATGCAGATACACGTCCACATAAATCACCAAGTATGCAGTTCACGTATCTATATATATATATATATATATATATATATATATATATATATATATATATATATATATATA